AAAAAAAAAAAGAGGGAGGAAGGCATGGGTTTGAGCTCCAGGCGGCTCAGCCACACACTCAGCAGAGTGAACTTTGAGAAACTGCTTCACTTTTCTGTGCCTCCATTTCTTTGTTTTCCTGATCATACATAACTGGCCTTAATGAATTTTATTTTTTACACAAGTCCCAGTTCTTAGTTAAAAAAAAAAAAAAGTTAAAAAAAAAAGTTACTACAAATGCCTTCATTTCTGTACTTATCGGCCCTCGACAGAAAAAGGAATTTCCTTATTGATCCAATTAAGCCTCACCCATCCCAGGTTAAGTTTTAGTGCTTAAATAATTAAACCTCTATTAGCCACTTTTGATGGAAATCTTGAATTAATAAAGAAAAAAAAAGGGCAACCTTAACGGACAGTTATCAAACTGTGCAGTAATACAGTGACGTTTCCGGGCATCAGTAAGCACTAACTTGCCTTTGTACTAAACGCCCTGTCCACCAAGCTGCAAAAAGGTCCTATATCTTTATATCATGTCCTTATTATGGACTTGCAGTGCCTTCAAGAGCTATGAAGATAACAGAGATATTAATTCATTTAATCCCAACAAAAAACCTTTGGGGTACCCTATTTTATCACTATTCCCTATTTTACAGGCGCAGAGAGGCTATGTATCTTATCCAAGGTCACAAAGCTAGCAAACAGCAGAACCAAGATCCACACCAGGGCAGCTGGGCTCTCCAGCCCACACTCTTAACTCTATGCGGCTATACAACCCAGAAAGCGAAGTAATGGTGGAAATGTTGAGTGTCCATTTTGGAACTCCACATGAAACCCAAGTTTGGGATTGGGGAGCAGAAGGACACCACCAGCCTCAAATGGTGTGGAAAACCCTGTGTTCCTGGGAAGACGGGTTACAGAAAAGCCTAGAAACAGATTTTTTTTAATGTTTATTTATTTATTTTGAGAGAGAAAAAGAGAGAGAGAGAGAAGAGAAGGGGCAGAGAGAGAGAAAAAATCTCAAGCAGGCTCCATACTCAGCACAGAGCCCGACTCAGGGCTCGATGACTGTGAGGTCATGACCTGAGCTGAAATCAAGAGTAGGATGCTTCACCAACAGATCCAGCCCCTGGAAATGGGTATTTAAAGCCAAAGGGCAGAATGGGAACTGAATCAAGGGTGGACTGACCCTCAAATGGATGTGTGGGGTTGGAGAAGGGGATGGTGATGCCCTCAGCAGGGGGGGATTCTCTGTGTCACAGGTTAAAGGAGGACCGAGGACAAAGGAGGCACATGTATCCCTTGTGACAGAACCATTTCAGGGAGGAAGGGAACTTGACACTTGGGGAAGAGAGTGTTACAGGCTAACGGGGGACCAAGAACACAGTGCCGGGAGTTGACCTCACACAGTACTGGCGAGTGAGAGTGTGAAACATGTGGCAAAGGAAGAACTGAATGCTTCCTCTTACCCATCACGCTATGTCCACATCTGACCTCTATTACCTGCAAGACCACCAAAGGCCAGGCTTAGAGGGAGGGTCGTCTTCTGAAGAGCCGCACATTTCCATTTCTAACGGGAGACCAGCTCCTCGAGTTAGGGGCACTTTCATATAATACTTGGAAAGGCAGGCCGAGTTTAAACCAAAGATGAGATCCTGAAATTTGGCCCATAATAGTTCTATAGAACTTTTCCACTGCCCTGCGGTAATAAGGCCGCCCCCACCCCTGCGGTGTCCACATAGACCACAAGGAATTCCTAATTCTGGAGGTATGGTTCTAGTGAGGATCCAGACAGAACTCCCACGCCCCCTCAGCAGTAACAAGGAGCCACTTCCCTTTGAGTGTCAACAGAGGCCAAGTGAGGACCCTGGACTTCTACCCCCTCCTGGCGCTGAGGAGGCAGTACCTTACAATCTCTCCCAGAAGTGTAACAGGAAGCTAAGCCAGAAGGCCTAAATAAAATTGAGACTCATAACACAATACTGAACATGCACAGGATTCAACTGAAAATCCCTCATCATACCAAGAACCAGAAAGATCTCAAAACGAATTCAAAAGACAATCAAGGGATGCCAACGCCGAAATGACAGAGAAGTTAAAAATATCTCCTTATGATTTAAAAAGGAGCCATCGTACAAAATGTTTCAACGAGCAATTATAAACAGGCTTGAAACAAATGAGAAAAACCGAAAGCCTCATCAAAGAAAGAGAAAGTAAAAAGCAGAAGATGTAACGAAGAACCAAATGGAAATCTTAGAACTGAAAAACACGATAACCAAAATAAAAAGCTCGGTGGATGGGCTCAAAGAGCAGAACGGAGGGGACAGAGGAAATGATCAGTAAACTGGAAAAGAGAATGGTAGAAATCACCCAATCTGAATAACAGAAAACAGACAACCTACCCTCCACCCCCACACACTAAAACATGACCGGATACATGATTTGAAAAATCTTCCCCATTCCATAGCTTGCCTTTTCACTCTGCTGATTATGTCCTCTGATGCGCATATGTTTTTAAGTCTGATGTAGCCCCATGTGTTTATTTTTGCTTCTGTTTGTGTTTTTGGTGTAATCTCTCTCTTCATTATTTTTTTAAGTTTTTATTTTAATTCCAGTTAGTTAACATACAGTGTTATATTAGTTTCGGGTGTACTATATAGTGATTCGGCACTTCCATACATCACCCGGTGCTCATCACAACAAGTGCCCTCCTTGATCCCCATCACCTATTTCACCCATCTCCCACCCCACTCCCATCTGGTAACCATCAGTGTGTTCTCTGTGGCTAAGAGTCTGTTTCTTGGGGAGGGGCGCCTGGATGGCTCAGTCGGTTGAGCATCCAACTTTGGCTCAGGTCATGATCTCGAGGTTCATGGGTTCGAGCTCTGTACTGACCGCTCAGAGCCTGCAGCCTGCTTTGGATTCTGTGCCTCCCTCTCTCTCTGCCCCTCCCCCACTCGGCATATTATCTCTCTCTCTCTCTCAAAAATAAATAAACATTTAAAAACATAGAAAAATAATACCACTAACAGTCTAAGTGAAGATTATCTAGTCTAATCCTTCACTTTATAGTTGCGAAAACTTAGGTCATAAAGGAGGAGATTGTGCCATTTGTGACATGGACAGTATTACGCTCAGTGAAGTAAGTCAGACTGAGAAAGACAAATACCTTATGATTTCACTCATATGTGGAATCTAAGAACATAAGACAAATGCATCAACAAACAAAAAGCAGAATCAGACCTATGAATACAGAGAACAAACCGATGGTTGCCAGAGGGGAGGGGGTGGGGGGATGGGCAAACCGGGTGAAGGGGAGAGGTAGGTACGGAACTAAAAGGCACAGCTTAAGGAACGTGGTCAGGGATGTATGGAGACGGATGGCAGCTATACTCGCCGTGACCACAGCTCTACGTATAGGCTTACCCAATCACTACGTGGTACGCCTGAAATTAATGTACACGGTTTGTCAACTACACTCATTCTTAAGATTTTTAAGCAAAAATAGTCACTAGTAAATACTACATTTGCTTATGGATTTACACATAATGTAGATGAATCCACGAAATCTAGGTACTTTTTATTGGTACCCTTATTCATCTCAAAGGCATAACCTATATTTTATACCAATGACAATCACCTTTTAGAGGATATTTTTAGATTGGACCCAGAGGTAAAGTAGGTAGACTATGTACAAAACAGCCATGCTAATACATTTATGATGGCCCTTTCTTAACCTGCGTGCAACATTTAAAAACATTGTTTTCTCAGGACACTTAGTACAAACAGAATTTACAGCACCAAAAAGCGGATGCTTTTAAGGACTAGATTAAAACTTAAAGGTTGAAACTTCTTGCAAAAACCCCATCAAAGAAAAATGGTCGCAGTTCACAAGTAGAAGGATACCGCATGGCACTATGGGACTGCAAATAGATGCAGCTCTTTCAGTGAGAAAACAATCTTTACACACATTTTCAGCGATAACGCAGCAACAGCTTCCGGAGTGATTCCTTGTAGAATTGGACCATGGAAACCATGGCTTTCACAACTACAGTGATTACAGGCTTTACCTTTGTACCTATTTCCTTCACTTGCCTGAAACAGATGCTTCCAGAGTATTTGCTATTCGTTTCTGGAGGAGCGAGTGGGATCCAATACCTCCATGGAAGCCCTACTCTCTGGAGAGGTTCTTGGAGCACTAACCCCAAATTAGTCTACAAACAAGCCAAGTGCACTTTAAACTGGGGGTTCAGAGGGGCGCCTGGGTGGCTTAGTCGGTTAAGCGTCCGACTTTTGCTTGGGTCATGATCTCACGGTTCGTGGGTTCGAGCCCCGCGTCAGGCTCTGTGCTGACTGCCAGCTCAGAGCCTGGAGCCTGTTTCAGAGTCTGTGACTCTCTCTCTCTCTGACCCTCCCCTGCTCACGCTGTCTCTCTCTCTCTCTCTCTCCCCTAGAAATAAATAAAAATAAATAAATAAATAAACTGGGGGTTCAGAGGCGGGGCGCGGGCAATGGCAGCATTGGAGCTTGCAGCCTGAAGAGCAGCGTGAGTCACTCACGCAGGGGCTAAGCATCCCTTCTGTCTGATGTGAAAAAGAACAGCAGCAAGAAACTGAACAAAACAGCAGTGTGTAAATTCTATCCCCCCAAGTCAGTGTTCAAACTTTTCTATATACTGCTATCACTCTTGGATTACAGTGAAAATGCTTAGCCCATTATCCTAGTTTTCACTTCTGTTGTCTTTTAAAGATGATAAAGTCAGGGCACCTCGGTGGCTCAGTCAGTTAAGCATCTGACTTCAGCTCAGGTCATGACCTCATGGTTCATGAGTTCAAGCCCCGCGTTGGGCTCTGTGCTAAGAGCTCGGAGCCTGAAGCCTGCTTTGGATTCTGTGTCTCCCTCTCTCTCTGCTCCTCCCCCACTCGCACTCATGCTCTCTCTCTGTCTCTCAAAAATGAATAAACGTTTAAAAAAACTTTAAAAAAAAGAGTTTAAAGCGATAAAGTGGCACACGCTTTACTTACCTAAAAGAGGGAGTAAAACTGGGTAGTTGTACGGCATCACAAAGAGGTTTACACAAGTTAAAGTCGTACTGGCTTTTAAATAACCAAATGGATAACCAAGTTCATTGTATTTTCCACTGCTAGTGACAAATACCTAAAAACATGAAGTAATATACAGTTATGACAAGAAAGATTTTATGTGAAACCAAACTCCCAGCAACATTCCAGAATAACATCTAAGGCACAGCTAATTTATGTAATTTAAAAATGGCAATAGTGCTTTTAGCCTATGCTTATGCCCAAACACGTCACACTAAATCAGATTGCAATTCCTGTAAACATTATATTATGAAATGAGGGGCGACTGGGTGGCTCAGTCGGTTGAGCATTTGACTCTTGGTTTCAGCTCAGGTCCTGATCCCAGGGTTGTGGGATGGAGCCCCGCGTTGGGCTCCGCACTGAGTGTGGAGCTTGCTTGGGATTCTCTCTCATTCTGTCTGTCTGTCTGTCTCTCTCCCTCTGCCCCTCTCCCCTGCTTGGGCACTCTTTTTCTCACTCAAATAAAAAAAATATTTAAAGAAAAAGAAATGACACCATACTGTGCGGTAACCAATTGGAGACCACAACACCCAAATATTTACTTGGTTAGCACAATGGCAAACAAGAATGAAATAGTGCTAAGAGATAACCAGCCATTAAACTGACTTCTCAAAAGAACAAGTGGTGAGTGGAGTGGAGACTTTAGAAGAAAGGAATATGGCCCCCTGCCTAAAGCATGCAATTATGAAAGCAAAGTCCATTTAAAGTAGTATGCTAACATTCCTCATGTGTTCGATTATTAGTCTTGCTCTACTTCCTTTTGGTACCCCCATTCCCCTATCCATTTATTCATTTTTCATCCAATAAATATTTTTTAATGTTCATTTATTTTTGAGAGAGAGAGAGAGACAGAGCTTGAGTGGGGGAGGGGCAGAGAGAGAGGGAGACACAGAATCCAAAGCAGGCTCCAGGCTCTGAGCTGGAGCCCAATGTGGGCCTTGAACCCATGAACCTTGAGATCATGACCTGAACTGAAGTCGGCTGCTTAACCAACTGAGCCACCCAGGCACCCCTCTACTTTTAACACTACTTTCCAATGAAAGGAACCAGGTGCCCCTCATCTGATAAATATTTATCAAGTAGCTATTATAACCCTGGCACTAGTGCTATTTCTTTTGAGGCAGCAAGGAGATGCTTTGGTTCAACCTGGAAGGCATTTTTTTTTAATAAGTTATGCTCATAGAGCAAACATTCACTAAAGATAAAAACATTAATCTTCATTCCATGTGACTCCATCTTCTTCCTTATTGATAGTCCTGATTTGCTGCTATATACGATATGGTCAGGTCCCGTGCAGTCGCTGTGCTGTGCTAAAGTCCTCTGGCTACCATGCCTTCTCAATGTTCCACATTAACTCTTTGGCCCAAATCAGGGCACCAGCATATATTTTTAGGGACCTAGACCTTTGTCTTTCCCAAAGTCCTTCAGCAGGACCATTTAAGACAAAAGTCAAAGCCTGATGCTAAACAGAATCCATTTACCTTGCTAATTGCTGGTCCCAGCAATATCATCTACCAGTTGATGAAATTCTTGCTATATTTAGTCGTAGCTAAGAATAAATCTTTCCTATGCCAGTTATGACCCCACAAAACAATGAATTATGCTATAAAACAGGACTCACGTAGATTTCATGTCATAATTTGAACCTTAATGGAAACAAATATCTGTAATAACACATGGTAGATTTCTCCCTATTTCCTAAGTGTGTATAACAGAAGAGGAAAAATCATCAGAAAGGATCAAAAGCGTTACAGGTGCTGTCAAGGGTCACACCTATGATCCCCATGAAGGGAGAAACATTGGGTTTTGTTTCTCTCTCTCTCTGTCCCTTTTTCTCTTTCTTCCCTCCTTTTCCTTCCTCCCAGCCTTCCTTCTCATAAGCTCTTTGAGTGTTTCCAAATTCCTTATCCCTTGCAGATTCATAGAACTTGGGGGTTCAAAGGGATCATAAGAGACTGTCTAGAGAAAGTAAATATCTGGCCCAAGACCACATAACTGGTGGCATAGTTAAGGGTTCGAATCCAGTCTCCATTATGACTTAGCCAAATCTCCTGGCTCCTGGTTCATCTTATTCTTTTTCATCCCCACTAATTCACTGCATTAAAACTGCTCTAAATCAAAGTAACACAGGTACAGGAGCTAGGCCAGTGGCACATTTGAGGGGTGGTGCTGGAAGCCAGGGCACGATTTATTAAGTTTCTTTGGAGAAGATATACAAGAAATGTGCCACTTGGAAAAGCAGGCTGGGGCACCTGGGTGGCTCAGTCAGTTAAGCTTCCAATTTTGGCTCAGGTCATGATCTCGCAGTTTGTGGGTGTGAGCCCTGCATAGGGCTCTGTGCTGACAGCTCAGAGCCTGGAGCCTGCTTCGGATTCTGTGTCTCCCTCTCTCTCTGCTCCTTCCATGCTCATGCTCTGTCTGTCTCTGTCTCTCAAAAATAATCATTAAAAAATTTTTTTTTAAAAAGAGGACTTATGTTAGGGGAGAAGTATAATTTGTATTTACTTTTATTGCAAATTTTTTGTCAACCCATGAAGTCTAACCTCCTATCTTGAGTCTAACATTCTATTAACCATACCTTTACATTTCTAGCACATTTCCAGTGCATTTTACTAAAATATAAACATACTTTCAGAATAGTGTGTGAATCTTAAGTATACAGCCCAATGCGGGTGCCTGGGTGGCTCAGTCGGTTAAGTGTCCAACTTCGGCTCAGGTCATAATTTCACGGTTTGTGAGTTCCAGCCCCATGTCGGGCTCTGTGCTGGCAGCTCAGAGCCCGGAGCCTGCTTCGGATTCTGTCTCCCTCTCTCTCTGCCCCTCCCCCACTCGTGCTCTCTATCTCTCAAATATAAATAAAAATACATTAAAAAGCAAGTATACAGCTCAATGAATGTTCATGAAGTGACCTCACATGTATAATCAGTGCCTAGATCAAGAAATAGAATGATGACCAGAAACCCCCTCATGTCCTTTGCTGGTCACAACTCTGCACCCTCAGGAGAAACCACTATTCTGACCCCTGACAGTAAGCCAGTTTTACCTCGTTTTGAACGTAGACAAAACAGAATCCTATGACATAGGATCTTTTACATCTGGCTTCTTTCGCTCAATATTATATTTATGAGATTGTTCTGTTTCTTGCACTTTTACATTCTTGCTCTAAGCTTGTTCCTTTTTTTCTACCCAATTTTAGCATCTTTGGAGAATTTAAGTAGCTTAAAGACAACTCGTAGCAATAATCGCACATTTTAGGCTGAAACAGATGGCAGTCTAAACGTGTTTCTTGTGTAAATAGAACCTAACAATTACTGATTGCTATATGGTTGCTGTAGTTTAGAAATAGAACAAACACACTTCCAGCATAGGGCTTCCTTATTTTTCCCAAATAAAAAGGCTGTGACTGCCATGTCTGGATTTTTACAAACTAATATCCAAAGGTGAGTCTATTAATAAATCAGCAAGCCCTTCTGGCTAGAGTATAACACTTGGAAGAGCCAGTACATGTGCACTTGCTTCATCCAAGTAAAATCCGCATTACACACGCCAGTGCGCTTGGTACAGGAAGAGAAGTTTGGTTACACTACACTGATACAAAAAGTAGTTTCAGGGCTTATGGGGTTTTGTGTGTGTGTGTGTCAAAAATATTTTGTACACTTGAAACTAATATTACACTGTAGGTTAACTAACTGGAATTTAAAGAAAAACTTAAAAAAAAAAAGATCTTGTGGGGCACCCTCGTGGCTCAGTTGGTTAAGCGCCCGACTTCAGCTCAGGTCATGATCTCGCGGTTCGTGGGTTTGAGCCTCGCTTCAGGCTCTGTACTGACAGTTCAGAGCCTGGAGCATGCTTCAGGTTCTGTCTCTCTCTCTCTCTCTCTCTCTCTCTGCCCCTCCCCCGCTCATGCTCTGTCTCTCTCAAAAATGAATAAACGTTAAAAAAGACTGACCTTGTACTTCCAATCTGTCAGGTTCACACTAAGGTTCAGCTGCAGAAGCCACGGCTAAATAAAATTACATCCTTTAGGTTAGAGATTCTTAACCTGGGGTCCCTGAGTAGGCTTCAAAAGCGGTCTCCCAAATCCTCAAATACACAGGTGTTATTAAATGGCAATGTCAGGAGGCTAATGATTCATATCACACTGAAATTATCTGCTTAGCCCTGTTGCTTATTTGACAGCATTTGTTAGAAAAGTTATTAACAGACTCAGTCCAATTATTCCTAGATTAACCTTTGCGCCTTCTCAAAACAATTCCCAGATCCCAGAGTGGTCACAGACATTTGGCCAACGGGTAAGGGTAAGTACCTGCCAGCAGGTGTGGGGAGACTTTCGTTCCAGGATGTATTGGGTTAAGGGTGAAGGTTCAAGTTCATATTTGTCAAAAGGAAGTTTGTCTATTACCATTGGCTCACAATCTACACAGGAGAACCTCACAACAGGATGAGACGTTCGTGGAGGCTAAAAAACAAGAGAGGAAAATACGGTCCGTTATCAAGTGAACTAACATTTCTGACAAATCTGCAACCTCTTTCGTGTTTTGTAAAACCATCGCTGAGATATACACCAGTGCTTTGAAAAAGAGGGCATCACTGACGGCTTCCATCCGGGAAAGGCACACAGATTCCTTATTTCTACCAGGTACTTGGCACTGGGAGGAGGAAAGGTAGATTCTAACACTCGTAACTACTGGTTCAGTGAAGTGAAAACCTCAACTGCTTTGAATATGGTTAGGAAGTTGCTAATGATCCACAGATTGAACCCTGATTTTCAGATCTACTGTTGCAACCTCCAAGCATGACCCACCCTTCATTCCTTTGCACCATGAGGTGATGGACAGTCCAGACGTGGCTGGCAAAGAAGAAATCCATGAAGATTTCTAATGAGCTGATGACAGAGCTAGAGATGCTAACAAGCAAGATGAAAAATCATGAAGGCATGGAAAGGGCAAGGCAGGTGCCCAAAATGAGCCAGTCGCAAACCCAGGACTAGTGGAGATTTTATTTTCAAGTTCAATTTTTATAGCGCTTCTCACACCCACACACTTGCCTTGAACAGCTAGAGCTGGGTGTGCTTTGGGCTGGGCTGCAAAGGCCTACGTGCCTGGGGTAGCAGAGCAGATCGGTGGGGCAGCCGTTTCGTTAACAGGTGTAGCTTATGCGGATAGAGAGCACCTGGGAGAGAAAATGGCGGCGGCTGGAGCAATCCGAAGAGATGAGGAGATAGGACCAGTCCTGGGGACAGGGTGAGATGTGGCTGCACCTGTTCTTGCCGACAGCTCCCTAAGCCTAACAGGAATATGACAAACCATCTCTGTTTCCCCTTTAAAGGAGAAAAACATGCTCCTGTGCCTTGATGATTTATACGCCTACAAGATGTGTTGGGAGTTGGAAAAAAAACCAGCCATCGGATGTGCCTTCAGAGCTGGAGGGACGGCAGGGAACAGGGGTGATGTGTGAGTGAGCTGGAATCTCGTTTATTCCCTTTTTTCCTGATTTTCATTTCAATGAAACTCGAGAAACATTTCTGGCTTATTACATTTAAACCGATTAAAAAAAAAGAGCCATAATGACACAAGTGAAGCCCTGTCACTGGCAATAATGAAGTAAATTTGTAACTAAAACATTCACTCTTGGGTTTGGAGCTGAGAGAGCAACTGGGCACTGAGAGCTGACCAGTGTGTCACCTTGGAGCCCCGAAGGAAGGTGGAAGAGATGTACCCTCACCCACAGCAGGGACGGAAGTGCCTCTTCAGGTCCTATGGTCTCATGGCCTCTCCTGGAAAAAGGAGCCTCAAAAGAGTAATCCAGGATAAAGTGTGGTTCATGTCAGAAATGTCTAAAACTTACACACAATATAGATGGGCTGAGCCAGTCCGGCGTTAAACGGAAGGCTTAGGGATTATTGTGTGCCCCTCTCCCCACAGAAGGAGGAGTACTCTGGCCTTTTTACACAGGCTGCGGGGAGGGAGAAGGGAGAGTGGGCTCTGTGTGCTTTCCCAAGTTAGCAGATACCTGTCTCCCACAAAAGGCCAATTCATCTGGTAATAAATAGGAGCAAGTACCATATCAAACCGTCCTCTCCCAAATGCAGTGAACAAAAAGAAAAGTCCCCATTTAGAGATCGTTTTTAAAATATTGCTTAATTACAGGCACCTGGGTGGCTCAGTTAGGTAAGCATCTGACTCTTGATTTGGGCTCCGGCCATGATTTCAAGGGTGGGGAGATCGAGCTCACCATGTGCTGGGCATGGAGCCTGCTTGAGATTCTCTCTCTCTTCCTGCCCCTATATTTATTTATTTATATTTATATATTGCTTAATTATATGCTGCCAAGGAACACAAGTCCATTGATTACAAAAAGATGAAAAGCAGGTCCACAAAGTTCCACTAGGTGTCTTCCCCAGCAGGACATAGAAGAGCTTCTATTTTGAATATGTTTCTAGAACCCATACAAGGTGCAAGCTAAATTTTAATTTCCTGAGGATGTACATGAACATCAATGCTGGTACTCTTTAGACATCGTGTTTCCCATGTAAATAAGTCAAGCCACCCTGAAATAAAAACCAAGCCACAGATTGCAACACCATCAAAAACAACCATGGCTTAACATCCAAAGCGGCAAAGGCAACTGAAAGAAAGAATTCCAGAATAGCACGGAAGTCCTCTCCTGCTTTTTAGTACAAGCTTAGACTGCCAGCAAGAGCTAATAGAAGGCACAGCTTAAGATCCTCAAAGCTTTTGTACAAGTTCACTGTAATCGGCAAACCGAAAATCCAAATGATGCTTACCGTCTATTTTTATGATACTTACTAGTGAAGGTAAATTCTGATCTGGCCAAAAAGACTCTGGAATTGGCCAGTGTCCGACAGGAACACCGGTTTTTGAGTTAGGTCGTACATAAATGAGCTTATGACAACTATGCCATGGTTGAGCAGCAAATGAATTGCTTGGCCTGGATGAATCCGTAAGTCCATCTAAAAGTTAAATACAGACAGACACTAAGTCATATAGCTCTTTTTCCAGATGCTGCGCTTCCTGTACAAAATTCTCAGCTAAAAGCAAAGTAAAAAATAAACCAAAACAGTGAGTCATGGAAAATGGAAGAAAATAAAAGACTCTACCAGGATTTCTGAATGTTCTCTCTAACATCATTTTTCACCGAATCCATCCCTCTAATCCAGCAGCCCGCCCTGATCCTTAACTATGCCCCAAATATGTAGTTATATCAAAAACAGGCATAAAATTAATTTTCAACTTTCTGAGATTTGGACACATACATTAAACACCGCACACCAACTAGAGGTATTTTTCCAAATCAGGCAAATGAAATTGCTCATCCCCTGGTATAGTTTTTACATTTGTGGAATCTGACGAAATAGGTCAGAAATTCCTACATTTTCTTTCTATTCCCAGTTAGGTGACAAAAAGTATTTTTTTAAACTTTTTTTTAATGTTTTATTTATTTCTGAGAGAGAGAGACAGCATGAGCAGGGGAGCGTCAGAGAGAAAGGGAGACACAGACTGTGAAGCAGGCTCCAGGCTCTGAGCTAGCTGTCAGCACAGAGCCTGACATGGGGCTTGAACCCACGAACCGTGAGATCATGACCTGAGCCAAAATTGGCTGCTTAACCAACTGAGCCACCCAGGTGCCCCAAAAGTATTCTTGACGAAACACACCCAATGACCACAAAAGCAAAATAAAAACGATCCAAATTCACTCCAAGATAGAGGGAACGTAGGGGCGCCTGGTTGGCTCCATGGGTTGAGCATCCGACTTGGGCTCAGGTCATGATCTCTCAGTCCCTGAGTTTGAGCCCTGTGATGGGCTCTGTGTTGACAGCTCAGAGCCTGGAGCCTGCTTCAGATTCTGTGTCTCCCTCTCTCTCTGCCCCTCCCCAACTCACACTCTGTCTCTCAAAAATGAATATTAAAAAAATTATTAAAAAAAGATAGAAGGAATGTTGACAGTAAAATCTATGTATATAGTTGGGGGAGAGATCACAAAGCAGCAGCATCAAGGTTATTATGGACTCACTGATGTAGTTTCCCTGCCCACCATTATGCTGTGGGAACTGGGCATCGTATAATGCTGAAGGATGTATCCTGACTATACTAGTTACTTAAACCAGCATATTTCATGTGCCCCCCCAAACAGGGCAAGGCAGAGTTTTATAGCTTTTTATGCAATGATTCAGGAGTCTATATTAATATTTGTAAAAGCTACATTTTAATGATTTGAGTCTCATCTTTCTTAATTTTTTTAATGTTTTATTTTAGAGAGAGAGAGACAGACAGATTACGAGTGGGAGAGTGGGAGAGAGAGAGACACAGAATCCGAAGCAGACTCCAGGCTCTGAGCTGTCAGCACAGAGCCCGATGCGGGGCTGGAACCCACGAACCACGAGATCATGATCTAAGCCGAAGTTGGATGCTTAACCGACTGAGCTACCCAGGCGCCCCTTGTATTTCTTAAATTACAGTTTATTTGATCTACTTATTCAAATACGACTTTAAACAAGTAATTACTTTAGACCAGGAGGTCTATTGTGGTGTACAGATCTCTAGGGAGTACATGTAATGGCTCCAGGGGACCAAGACCCTCCCCCTGAAGCTGAGCTCATAATTCTGAGGATGTACACTTTTCTCAGGAGAGAGTTCTTAGCTTTCACCTGAATCTCAAAGGTTAAGAACCCTGGACAAAGGAGGTGCACCTGGGTGGCTCATTCAGCTAAGTGGCCGACTTGGGCTCAGGTCATGATCTCATAGCTCGTGAATTCGAGCCCCGCATCAGGCTCTGTGCTGACAGCTCAGAGCCTGGAGCCTGCTTTGGATTCTGTGTCTCCCTTTCTCTCTGTTCCTACCCTGCTTGCACTCTGTCTCTCTCTCTCTCAAAAATAAAGATTCTTAAAAAAAATTAATATAAAGACTTAAAAATTAAAAAAGAACCCCAGACAAAGGAGGAATGGAGCTAGAAAGAAAAATCTGAGCTATTTACATGACACCAAGTCCAAGAGGCTTCCACTATGACTGTACCCAGTTCATATTAATGTAACAAACACAAAAGTATGGATGGAGCAGTCAATCGTTAACAATAAACAGCATGCCCTTCCTTTACAATTAAGTTAATGAATTTAAGACAGGCTGTGAGGCCTCAGCCTTCTGTGGTGGGTGTCCTTAAACCAGAGTCCTTAAACTCCCGAAATACAAAATTGTATTTGTGTGGCCCATGTCCGTTTTTCTAGGGAGAGGTCTCTACTTTTCCAACAGCTTCTCAAAGCGTTCCAGGAACTAAACATCAAAAAGGTCAGGAACCACAGGACCTGTGGCTTCTGACAGAAACGTATGTCTTTCTGAGCAGCCATCACTGATGGTGGCCACGCAATTCAAATGTGTGGATCAGGAGCACCTCGCTGGGTCAGTCGACAGAGCATGTGACTCTACGCCTCAGGGTTGTGAGTTCAAGCCCCACACTGGGCATGGAGCCTACTTTAAAAAAAATGTGTGGATAAGATCAGACAGGCGCCATGGTAATGGTGTGTGTGAGCACACAGGAGTGAGGAGAAGCAGCAGCCTTGCACAGAGCTCCGAGCCTTGCGGTGCCGGGAGGATTTGAGGGAGAAGACCCCTCCCCTATACAAATGGATCTCTGCTCTCATCCACTGCCATCATCTGTTTTGAGATGTTGAACGTTCTGTAAGATGCCACTTGAAGAGAAAAGGTTCAGCAGTTACAAAGTGGCCCGGAAAATACTGGTGTAGGATCGTACAGGATATCAGCAGTTTCTGGATAAACAGTCGCAATCTCTTGCTGACATATGGTAACAAACCCGATTTCATAAAGAGGGCTTGGCGCATCTGGCACTCACAAGACCAAGACCAGATGACTGGTTAAGTGGCCCTCCCCAGTGATTCTGCAGGTACTTCATGCAGAGAGAGGTGAATAATGCAGGGTGTCCCAAGTCTGGGACCAGGAAGTATGAAATGAGCAGGGAAAAGGAAGAATTTTCTTTTTTTTTTTTAACATTTAATTGTTATTTGAGAGACAGAGTGCGAGCAGGGGAGGGGCAGAGAGAGAGGGAGACACAGAAGCAGGTTCCAGGCTCCAAGCTGTCAGCACAGAGCCCGACGCGGGGCTCGAACTCAGAACTGCGAGATCATGGCCTGAGCTGAAGTCAGATGCTCAACTGACTGAGCCACCCAGGTGCCCCCAAAAGGAAGAATGTTCTTAAGAAGGTTTGCCACTGAATTCAAGTTGTTAGCATCTGACCACCTGGCACGTGAATGCATGGCCGGCGTCTGGATGGATGTTTGCAAGCACATGAACACATGTGTGGATCGTCCAGGCCTGTGTCTATTACCAGTTCACGGCCTTCCCAATCTCAGATCATTCTCCAGGGCAAAAAAATAAAAAAATAAAAAGTCGTGTCCTGTACCTTCTCCGACAGGAAGTGGATCTGGTCCCGTTTTTTCAAAGTTAATAACGACACCACTCTGAATTTTCTGAACTAGAGATTCTAAACACTGATTCAACATCCTTTGTGTTCTAACACAGTAGGAGCGACCTATCCAAGAAGGAAAAACAAACAGTGTCAGTTTGAACAAATAAAATACTACTTAACAATACAAGCATTTGAAATCCTAGGGTATATCTTGAACCAGTCATAACTATGTGGGCAGCAAACATCACATTCATGATGAGCTCAGGCAGTAGAGCTGAAAGATTCTGAAGGAAAACAAGGCAAGACAGGATATGGCATTTAAGAAAAAACCATATTCTTCCTTTAGCAATATGAAATATGGCCAATACCTCCGGTGACTTCACACATCTGTGTGATGGCAGACTCATCAGTTGGTACACTCCCTAGATGCTCTGTTTCCAGAGAAGCCAATCCAGGTAAACGCAACACCAGGGCAAATAACCTTTGATCCCAACGAAAAGGTTCTTTGGTTAGTTCACTTCCAGGCAGAGGAGAATTCAAAGGAAGATGAAGCTGATAAGGCAAAAGTTGAAAAGTTGCATCATAACAACCCACACAAAAGTGAAGAGAGTGTCAAAAGGGTCATTTGTCTTTCATATACTCGATAATCGTTCAAGGATTGTGAGGACGAAAGGTTTGATCAAACGTATTCTTAACTGGCAACGTATGCCTCCCACAGAAATAGCTGCATGTTCTCTGCCATTGAAATGAAATTTACCAAAAAAAATGAAGGCTCACCTCTTCTTGAACACCAGCAGTACTTGTTAACTTGTTTCCATCTGTGATGGTAATTAAAATAGATGGTTCTAAAAAAAATGGATTTCTCCCCTAAAATACATTTAAAAAGTATTAGAGCCATGTAAAGTAAGCAAATTGTATTTCAACTTTTACATTTGCCTTGCCAGTGATCTCTCAAGTGTGTGATAAAATTTGCCTGGATAAACAAGAAGGAAAAGATTAGGGATTGAAACGGGTGGGAAATCCAAATAACAATCCCAGCAGAGGCAACACTCAGAATGGACTGAAGGATTCTTATAATTCAGGAACTCCCCAAACTATCATATCCAAATACTCCTCTCCCTCTGCGGGCTAAGTAATCATAAAAGAAAGAGATTGAAGAGATTATAATGGCAGCAGCATCCACACCCGTGAGTCCGTTCACCTGAGTCAAAATCCTGGCACGGGTCGGGGACGTTAGTGACTCAAGCTTTGCAATCTGGACTCTACTCTGGTTACTGTGAGCAGAGTTTCTAGGGCAGGAATGGACAACAGTAGCAACAGATGCTCTTTTGCTTTCCTCTTATTCTAGAGCTTTTTCATGGAATTGGGAGAGACGAGGGCATTAAGGACACTGAAAATTTCTCTTCAGATGCCTTGTTCCAACATTTGTCAGCAAGTTATTCATCCTGTTCTCAGGTACCTGATGATCTGATGGGGAGGCCATTTTTGCTACACATCTTATGATCGAGCCACATACGAGACCCTCCCCCCAAAAGAGGGATTTTTTTTTTTTTGAAGTATGTACTTAAAAGATATGGACTTCCTTTTTTGGCAGTTGTGAAAAGTAGCAGCAAACTTGGTAACCACGCCCAGTTTTAAATTCTTACCCCAAGTCACCAAAATAAATTAGCTGTACTCACTCAAAGGTTTTTTTACCTGTCCATAATTGTCTATTCCAGATATTAATCTATTGAGATTTAACAAATCAAATGAGGATCTTAGAGCCTGACCAAGAGTAGTCAGTCCAGAAGCCTGAAGATTTTTTAGTTCACTCATGAATGTTGCGTGATTTTCCTTCCAACCAGCCTGAAAACCAAACATTTACAAAGAAATTCCCAATTATACAATGAACAATATATAAAGTGCAAACAACCACTAAACAGCAAGTTTCAAACCTCTAGCGGATTTATAGTCCCTTGATCTAATTCTAGCCGAGATCTTGACTGATCAAGTGGAGGTAAGGCAAGCAATCAGTTTCAGAAAGATCTGTCGGCGTTAATGACCAAGAACAAAGATACAAACAATGCATTCGTCCATTATGGCAGGATGGCTCTGGCTCGAGAAGTCCAATCTTCGATTCAGGTCCAATCAAACCTACCCGAACACCTCAGTATTTACCTTAGTTTGATACTGATGGTGAGCATGAAGGAAGGAGGAGAGGAAGGACTATTTTTAAATGTGCTGTCCTCGAAAGAGACGTTTCGCTATTGACTGTCTGATCTACATGAACTTTTCGAACCAAGGTTCTTCCTCCCAAACAACATTTTCACTTTAAATAAGAGTCAAGGGGGAAATTCTAAGGATAGAGCCACAACTACTTGGAGACGACCCTTCTGGCATCTTCAAACATGCAGAAAGCCCCAAATCTAGACAAAGGGGAGAAAGAAAAGAAATTTTAAAAGTTTTGGCAAAGCAGCAGCCCCCAGGTGCTCCTATGAACAGCGGCAAAGAACCAAAGACCCAAGGTCAGCAGCCAACATGCTGTGATTGAAATGGTTTGTAGACGGGGAGGAAAAGATCATGTGGACTGGTGGCCTGTGATGGCTGGAAAAAAAAAAGAAAAGAAAAAAAAAAAGGCAGCGCCAAATGCAAAGAAGAGAAGCCAAAAGAAGAACTGGCAGCTAACAGCAGGTCACGGAGGAGAAGGCCAGCAAGGGAGGGAGCAAACAGCACAGCTTGGTGACTTGGTGGGACAAACAGCCACCGGAGTGTGATAGGCTGAAGGCTGAAGTCATGCCAAACAGGCCGGGGACAGCTGGAGGTGGAGAGCAAGAGCAAATAATAAGAGATAAACCAAATCATTGCCGTTTCATGTCTGGCTGAAGGCACACTGTCCATTGTCTATACAACTACAGCAAGCATGCTCTTTTCTAGTTTCTTAGTCTCGCGAGGCAGTTTGGGTGGGAATGACTGAGGGGCAGAAAGGGGGCAAATGACTGCCTGCACTCCACCATGACCTTGAGCAAGCCTGTTGGCTCTGGGGACCGGAATAGTATTCTCGGTGCAATGCTGTGCGGAATATAGCCAGAGGAAGGAGTCGTTCACACTGGACTCGGACAGAACGGTGCCCCCTTCAGCTGAACAGTCCAGAACCCGCATAACCATAAAAGGTGAAGGTCCTGGTTCATATCCAGTCCGGCCCAATAGTCTGAAATTCTGTGAAATTAAAGAGGTGCTTAGTTGTTTGTTTGTTTGTCTAGTATTCCTAACATATCCTACAGATCAAAGGATATAAAGGTAAAAAACCTTTCCATGTGTTCCTTTGGGCGGATTGTATATGTGACTTTTAGTACTTAGGGAAAGCAGAGCATGAGAATTCCTCGTGGCCTGCGGAAAAGTATGGCCTTTTAACTGAAAGCTTAGTTAAAAGGAAGGCTTGTGGTGTAAATTGTCCTCATCAAATACCTAGAAATATCAGCAGGTTACAAATTGCACTGAATTAAAAAAAAAAAAAAATGAGCTTTCTTCCTCGTGGTGGGAGAGAAAGGTATGCAGTTGGGAGGGAGAGCGGCAGTTCTTTCCTTTATTCAACAGATTTGCACGGGCCAGCTCTGCCGTACTGGGCAGAATGCGACACGCTGGAGCTCTAGAAAGGGATCAGCCCGTGAGGAGTTCCCGCCCCAGAGGAATGAGGATGCATACATGGGCACTAAAAGTACAAGTGACCAGGAAGTTAGGGAAGGCTGGTCACAGAAGATGGCGCATCAGAGGAAGAGCAGAGGACATCCACACGGATCGCAGGAGTGGAGGGGCAGGGCAAGGCAGAGAACAAGGTTCCATAGAAGGAGAGGGCTTCGCGGGGGAACCGCAAGTAATTCGATTGTCATTGTTGGGCACGCAGGGCAGGAGGCAAGGCTGAAGAGTGAGGCTCTGGCGGCACAGTGCTTTGCACATTGTGCTCGGCAGTTTGGATTTTATCTGTTGGCTCTGGGCATAACTTGAGGTTTTTAATTAGGGGAGTGGCATGATCAGATCTGTATTTTAGCCAGATGGCTCTGCTGGGGAGTTGGAGCATAAATTGGGGGGTGGAGGGGAGGCTGAAGCTCAGGCAGGGAAACTGGTTTGGAAACTGTTGCAATAGCTTATGGGAAGAGCAGAGGGGAGGAGAGGAGGCTACCGACGAAACAAGTATTTCAGAGGCGGCGTCATAAGGTTTGGGAGCTAATTAGAAGGGGTGGGTGAAGGAGACGGGGCATCCATTAAGCTGAGCTCTGCGGCCTGGGAAAACCTGAGAATGGCCCCCACAAGCCACTGCTTCCTCCGAATTACTCCACTTAGCGATCTTACTTCCACACTGTAAATTCCGCACCACACCTACAGCGGGCGCTGAACTCCCGGGAGCCGCAAAGTAGTTCAAGGCATGACTAAAGAAAAATTCACAGACAGCTTGATTTGTTCAAGGGCTGTGGTAAGATTTGGGTACCACTTAGGCAAGCACCATGTAACTCCTCTATATTTAAAATAATGTGTCCTGATTGCTCCGAGTCTTGCTAATTAACCTGACGGAATAATTGCTCTTTCGATTTCTCTTTACAATGTGGATTGAAAGCATTTTACAAATCATTCTTGCACCTGAATCGCGGGCATTCTGTATTCAGGTCAATCCCAGTTCTTTGCAATGAAGTGAACAATAGAAGAATTAAATGTCCCTAAATGCATTCCTCACAATGCTGAAGGGGAGAGAGCCTGCGGATAAAGCTCACTACCCAGAGAACTTTATTTTTTTTTTTCTAAAATGTTTATTTATTTTTGAGAGAGATAGAGACAGAGTGTGAGCTGAGGAGGAGCAGAGACAGAGGGAGACACAGAAGCTGAAACAGGCTCCAGGTTCTGAGCTGTCAGCACAGAGCCCGATGTGGGGCTTGAACTCATGGACTGAGATCATGACCTGAGCTGAAGTCGAAGTCAGACACCCAACCGACTGAGCCCCCCAGGCGCCCCCCAGAGAACTTTATTAATGGGACAGATTTCTTCCCCAAAGATAATTATGAAGAGCTAGTGGCAGAAAGTCTGTGTTTCTATCTCTCATCCATTGCTTGGAGTTGATATTTTTTTTATAAATGAATTCAGGACAGCCCGTTTACCTTCTTAATACAGGCTTTTCTTTCAAGTTACTCCAAAGGGACCCTACTCTCATGTCAGTAAAATTGTGACTCAGGATAACAAGTTCCATACATTCTCATGGAGGATTACAGCTTACAAAGTGCTTTCACATTTCACATTTGGTTAGGACAACCCTATAAAATAGGCATGGTATTACCATCCCGATTTTGTCTTCCTAAACCAGGAAGAAGGAAGACTTAAGTCGGTCTTGTTTGCAGGGATGATAGTGGCAGCGAGTCACACTCTGGAGTTGCGCTTAATCCAGTAGCCCTGAGCCATATGCGGCTACTGAGTCCTTAAAACATGGCTAGTCTAGGGGCGCCTGGGTGGCTCAGTCGGTTGAGCGTCCGACTCTTGATTTCAGCTCATGTCATGATCCCAGGGCTGTGGGATCAAGCCCCGCGTTGGCTTTGCACTGGGATTCTCTCTCTCTCTCTCCCTCCCTCCCTCCCTCTGTCCCTTCCCTGCCCTCTATAAAACAAAACAAAACAAAAACACCAAAACATGGCTAGTCTGACCTGAGATGTGATGTAAGTATAAAATACATGTGGCATTTTGAGGACTGAGAAGAAACATAAGAATGACAATATCTCGGTATTTCGTTTTATATCGGTTACACACTGAGGTGATGTTTTGAATTTTCGCAGGTAAATAAAATGCATTACTAAAGGTTCCACCTGTTTCTTTTCACTTCTTAACGTGGCTACTAGAAAATGTTACATCTTGTGTACGGCTGGCATTATACGTCTATTGGATAGAGATGTTCTAGAAGGACCTGGAGGTCAGGCCCGAGAGCTTGGCCTGGCCTCGGTAGACAATAGACTCATTACAGATTCCAAGGCAGGGGGACACAGGATCAAAGCAGTGTCTCAGGAAGGTCAGTCTGATAGTGACACAGAGGATGGATTGGGGAAGGAAGGAAAGCTACAGATTTCTGTAGCCAGGAAAAAGAAGCTAGGGGCCATGATTAGTAATCCAAGCCTGAGGGAATCAGGGTCTGAGTTAGGAGGGGAATGAAGAGGAAGGGAGAAACATTTCAAACCAAAAAGATAAGACTTGGTGACAGAGCGACCATATGCCTGCAGGAAAGACAGCAAAGATGGTTACAAAACTTCTAGCCCGGGAGACCGGAGGGACAGAGGTTCGAGATGAAGGAGCAACCTAGGATGAGTGAAACCCTGAACGAAGAGTCTACTGTCTTAGGTCAAGTTGGAAAAGTCTCCCAGGAGTAAATTGATGATGATGATGGTAACAGTGGTAGATAATAATCATAGGTAATGTGTATCTGTGCTTATGTGTTGGGACCTCACTTATGCTAAGCATAGCATTTTATACGTAACCTCATCTGGGGGTCTTCACCACCCCATGAAGTAGGTGCTGTTATTATTTCCATTTTATAGATGAGCACACTGAGGCTCAGAGAGGATAAGCAGCTTGTCCGGGTTGAACAGCTAGTAAGTGACGCAGCCAGGATCTGAACCCAGGTAGCCTAATTCCAGAGCCCACGAATTTAAAACCACTATACAGGTGGGGGTGCTATTTAGTGGCTCCCCCAAACTTCACTATTCTACAGTCCACGTAGTCACCTCATAGACAAGTCTCGTTATAGTAGCTTCAAAGTTGTACATTTTATGGAACTTCCAAATTTCCTTTCACTGAAGCTTCCTTTCCCTCATGTCTAAACGCAGACCAGTTGCGTGTGC